AATCATCAAGCCAAGCCTAACTTAAATTCCCAAGAACAATTAGCCCTTAAAAAGATAATAACGTCATCAAAGAGTCGGACAAAATGTGAAGGTTTTGTAGTTATGAGCAAAAACATTTACGAACGAAAAATATTTGATCACCTTAAAGACGAGAATAAACTTCAAATTCTTAACAGTGACCCCACCAAAACATTGAGACGAAAGTTAAAGAGATTATGAGCTTACAAAAACAAGTAACCTCCCTAAGAAGCTTCCTAATTAATGTAAACCTTCTAACAGCTGCATTCCAGAATTATACGGTTTACTAGAAGAACATAAACCGGATATTTCACAGTTTGTCCCTTAAGACGAAAGGTCCACCTTTCGAAAGCGCACGGGTTATAGGGTTTTTATTCATTTCTATCAAGACTTCTTGAACCTACGTGTTTTTCTAACATCATGCATAAACCGGCTATAATACTAATACTCATAGTCTCAGCATATGAAAGTACCACTGAAAGTCTGTCTTGAGTTATGTATGTTATGTATACAACTTCAGTGCCATTACTAAATTAGGTTCCAGCACACTTATATAATGCACAAGACCTACTATCACAAATCAAGTGACCAACACAACAATACTCTTTACATTGGACGTCGTAACTCTGTACCCATCTATACAGACAGAAGATGGCGTCAATGTAATGTGTGAATTCATGTCGAATCACATAAAAAAATTGTAGATGTATGGACTGACAATAGACACTGTCAGGGAAATCTTACATTTCATCCTCCACAATGGGTATTTTCGTTTTGACAACAAATTATATCTCTAACCCAGTGGTGTCTCAATGGGTAACAGAGTCACTGTTATTTATGCCATAATATTTATGCACGTTTTTGAAACAACTGCACTAGATTAATAGCGCCAAGATACTAACACCGACTCTGATCTCTGGCTTAAATACATTGATGACGTGTTTTAGACTATGGAACCACAGTTGGGGTCTATGGAACTTAGAAAGTCTAAAAATTGGATTAAAGAAGGAAGATTGCACCTTTCTTGAAAACTTTGGAATGATGGGAGTTGAAGTTAAGGAAGAGAGGTTTTCTAACTGGCTTGTGAAACAAGGTAAATTGTATATTATTGTCATTGTTGATCCTTAAGGTAGCATCAAGAAAATCTATGTTCTTCTTGTCATTCGAATGATTCAGGGGGGAATTGGATGGTTATTGGAGAATTAAATAGAATCGATCACGACAGTTATGACAAAAACAATACACACTCTGAATTAAAATCACATCTTCTGAGTAAGGAATATCCACCTTTTTACATGGAATAAAAATCAGCGAAAGAAATCAGCATCACACTCCTAACATAACGAAACACAGATAAAAAAGAAGGAAAAACCCGATTTTTCTAAAGATAACACAAAAAAGGCTATTTTTATAACACCTCTAATTGACGAAGCTTTCACCAAGAAAATACAAGCAATAATCAGGAAATCTGAATTGATGATTAAAGTTTAGAATGGTCAGGTCCAACCTAAAAAGCCAACTTTCAAAATATCAGTACACTACCCTACACTGTAATAAAGCTAAATGTCTTACAAAAATGTGTTTGCAATCTAAAAGATGAGTGTCTTGTCTCCAATGTTGTTTACCAGCTTACACGTAACATCTGCCAGCATACGTACATAGGAGAAACTGAAAGAACTCTACACATAAGGATAGAACATATTGATGCTCTTTATAAACAACAACATGAAAGAAGCGCAGTTACAGATCATATTTTATCTAATCATGGACAAGTAACACCTGACTTGAAACCACCATTCTCAGTATAAATTCTCACCAAGTACACTGACAGAAAATTCAAAGAAGTTCTTCT